ATATGTTTCATAATTTTTAGTAAAACTATTAAAAAAGTGTTTAAAATTTAAATACAGTGAATGATATTGAGGGACGTTCTAGTTATAAAATTTTCGTGTTGTAGAATAAGAATCCCATACAAAATCGCTTTCACAGTAGCCATGAAATTCATTTTTACTATGATTTTAAAACTCGATATCGAGTTAGTGGACATCGAGTTGTGGAGAGTTGACTTTATCTCAAAGTTTTCTAGCTCAATTTTTATATTTGTTTTGTTAAAAATGCCAACTTTTGAAATATGTATTGAAAATCTCGTACACAAAATCATAGAACATCAACTTTTGGTAATCATTTTCTAATTGTTGTTTGTACTCTTTTTCATGTAGTTTTTGGACAAAAAACTACTAAAAATGTCTCAGATACTGTTTCCTGGAAAAAAATAACACAAAAAAGTGTTAAAAAAATGTTCATGAATTCCTCCCAAAGTTGATGTTTTACGATTTTGGTGTTTCAAATGATTCCATTTTCTATTTTTTTTTTTAATATACAGCATTTTTAGCCCAAAACGCAAACCGGTTGGACTTGAGTGACAGGAAGCAAGTTACCAGCTTACACTTTTCAACAATTTTTAAGGCACTAAGGCACTAAGGTGGATTACTTCAGCTTTCTTTAAAAAATATATACAAAAACCCAAGGGAGGTTTTTTGAGAAAATCATAGCTTAATTTTTTCCAAAATATGTAGTTATTGAGTTTCTTTTTTCAGTGCATTTTTTCTCAAAGATCATTTAACTACCTACAACTCCTTCACAGATGTCGTTTTGATCAGACCAATCATTTTCTTGTTAGGAGTTTTTGAAAAAATGTAATCCATTTTTTGAATCTGCCCTTTTTAAAAAGAAATCTGGAGAAAAAAAAATATTTAGATGAAACATAACACCATTGAAAGCAGCAAAAATCTGAGCAATGTTTCATTCAAATTGGAAGGGGTCGAGACAAAACTGAATTTTGTTAAGCGTTTTGGGCTGGAAATGCTCTATATTAAACATGAACATTTTGAAATATTTAAGTTTTGAACTTTTTTAAAATTTTAACAAAAAATTCTTGATTTTTTTTACTGTGTATATTGTTTATAAAAAATACCTAGATTTTCTCTACAGTCAGCTATTTCGATCAGATGTGATGCTTTCGTGCTATAACTTATTAAAAAATGTCAAAGACGCCAGTTTGAGAAAAAATTACAACTGGCCGAATTTTAGAAAAAAAAAATCTGTATGATTAACTATAACAAAAAAATATGCAAAGTTTCATGCAAATTGACGAATGAAAAGTATGATCGATTCGTCATGTGACGTGGAAGTGCTCAAATGAGTGTTTTAAAAAAAGTTCACTTTTCACAAAGAGCAGTATGATAATTTTGGAAGAATTATCAGGACCTGATTTGAAATTAATTAAGCTTGCAAAATCTATATTTTGAACCACTCAAATATACATATTCAGCCATTCCATAGCAAAACGATACAGTGGTTCTCAGAATGTCGTAATTTTGTTCCTTATCGCAAAACATTAAAACGGTATTTTTTTTTATTTTGTCATAACGATGATGATTTCCATGTTAGGACAGTTAAAAAAATCGTTTTAAAAATTCGTAGTTTTTGAACCACTGAGCCGATTTCAAAGCTGAAAATGTCAATGGAAAGGTAATTGGGATTTTGTATTGAAAAACATTGCTTGTTTTTGTTTTTGTGTGGATTTCATGGTTTGCAGAGAGAGAGGGCGCAATATATTTTGATATTTTTCATTGAAAATTTAGACTTTTTTACACAACAAATCAAAAAATCTGCAATGAGTTTTTTGGTTTTCGGTTTTGAGTTATATTTTTATGAAGTTATCATGTTTTGGGTTTTCGCTTAATACTCCCAACCGATGGAAACTAACGTTTTTAATTAAAACAGCAAAAAAGAGGTTATCTTTCATTTAATTCCACTTGAATAATTTTGGTATCCATGACAGATACTTAAATAGTGCATAGAAGGCCTGGCCGTTTTGATATATTTTTTATCAATGATGTGCAACATATACCAAAAAGACAAGAAAAGTTAGGGTAGAGCATTACTTCGTTGTAATCGCCCATTTCCGTTCTATCGATCAGAAAAGATCAATAATATCAATGATTTCACCGTGCACAAATCAATAATAGGTTTGTTCCGATGCGTTAGTTCATTAGCTACAACATTAATCCTATTAGAGCGCATTGTATGAATATTTACGCTCATTGTTCTCGAAACAAAAGAAACGCTCCCTGCGAATCCCCTTTTTCTACGTTTTTCCGTAGGACGAAGAAAATCTAATGGCGTTTCAATGCGTTAGGACGGAATTGAAACTCGTTAGACGAATTAGAAAAATAATGTGTTAAAACAGAATTGAGTGTACATTTAACGAGAACATTTTTTTTTGAAGAGCTTAAATAGTTAAAGCTTAAAAACATACGTTTGAAAGATATGAACGGCAATCACAACTAGATACTTATCACTAAGGTGGACGGATCAGAACCGGTTCATTCATACAGTTTATCCGGATCTTTTCAACGGTTCATCGGATTAATTAAACCAAGCTCAATTTGGAATTTTGCGTAGGGTCTCTATTTAATGCAAAATAATATCATAGGTAACTTAATTTCATCAAATAGTCATTGTATCCTTGGCTAAGAGAAGAATATGAAGCTAATAGCACTTTTCAGCATCGTAAGGAGGTGGCGATCAAGAGTAACAATTTATGTTTGAAAATTTTTGGCAGCTTATTCTGAGACGCGAAATTGAGCACATTCAAACGTACTTTCGAACTTTTAAGTCTCGAAGCACTTAATTTTACATGACATGTTTGTTTACGTCTCATCCTTAAGGTCAAAAATGGATTCCGTCACGTATAAGATTAGGTATTTCTTAGTGTGTACCTTTTACGATATCTATGACTAGACACTGAAGAAGTTTGCAAGTAGTAAACAAATTTCGTATCTGTTATAGTTTAAAGTGATAGTGAAAGTAAATAGTGAAAGTGAATTAGTGAAAGTGAATTAGTGAAAGTGAATTAATGAAAGTGAAAGTGATACAATAGTGGTAGAATTAAAAGGAAAAAAACTCGTAAAAGATATACAAATATTGAACTTTTATTCGATATTTTTAATATTGCTGAAATCATAAATCATTTTATTCAGAAAATTGTTTTCCGTATTCAAATCACATAAATGTCGCGTGAATAAGGTTCCTGTTTCTATTTTATCAATTTCAGAAAAGTTTACATTTTTATGCTTTAAAATAAACATAATTTTAAAAATCATTATAATGCAATTTTTGTCGTTGTAGTTTCTACAAGTAATTTTCATAAATTTAACATAAATTTGATTTTGTTCAACGTTTAAAAAAAATATAAATTCAGTTTCCTACAACTTTGTTTCAGATGTCATTTCGATTAGATGAGATGTCTTCGTTTTATTATTTATCTAAAAATACTGAATACACCATTTTGAAAAATTAGGTGTGAGCTTCATGGAATTCTGAGAGGTAAAATCTAAAATTTGTTTTTATTTTCGCTATTTGGCCTGGAACTGCTCTTTTTATAAACAATTAGTCGTGAATAATTCACTATCTAAATATTCTGGTCGGGACCATTCGAACGAATCCCATTCTGGTCGCCCATCTCTTATCTTAACCCGTTAATCGTAATGATGCGTATGGTTAAGAGTTAAGGAAAACGAAAAAAAATCATATTCTTAAAAATCAGTTGTATAATCATTAAATATTGTTTAATAATTGAAAAACCAATAAATGAACATTAAATACCAACCAATGAATATTATGAACAAGGGATGAAATGTGTAACAATTTTCGAAATAGTGCAAATCTTTTTCCATACAGTATAAAATCGAAAAACCGCATTTTAACTTCTTCCATTATAAAGAAATATCAGAAATTTTGAAAGGTGACATATGTAAAAAATATGGTTTAATGCGGCCTAAATAACTAATTTAATTGACTAACTTTCCAAAAGATAGCCAATTGAACAATCAGCCAGATAGCCTACCTAGCTGTCAAACATATCTTTAATGCTGTAACTCAGAGTAAAATAAAATATCTATGTTTTAGGGTACGTTTAGAGATGTAGGATATTACCCAAGTAACCAACAAGCCTGCTTATTCACCTTTGCGACTAATATAAAGTTTAGCGTGCCCTGTGTTAGCCTTATATTTATTTATTTTTATGTGTTAATATTCCTTATCATCTGCATAATAACGTCGAAAAATAGCTACATAGGGAATGTCTAAAGCTACATACTCCTTAACACTCCGAATACGATGCCTTCGGTAAAATGTGTAACGGCAAACTTGCAATGTTTGTAAAATCATAGCTCAGCCATTTATTGAGGAATTTCAAATCTTTTAGTGCCATTTGAAACTACCAACTTTAAAATTTTATTTGGTATCAATAGATTCGAAATATATTGACAAATAGCTGAATAATGCTTTTTTAAACATTGCGAATTTGCCGTTACACATTTTACCGGAGGCATCGTATTCGGAGTGTAAATATCTGCCATTGAAGCGTCGACAGAATACTGCGCGATGGGTAATGATGACACGTTTGTGATGATAATTTCTTAAATCAACATTATGAAAGAACCAGTGGAAATCAAACTGGTTTGAATGGCAGTTTGTGTTTTGTATTGAACCAGAATGTGGTTGGTTTGAAGAATTTCCCACAGGTATTCAATCAGGGTATCATCGAAAAACATTCAAATTTCTCAACCTTCCAACGAGCATTATTTCAAGAGGGCGGGCTACCCTTACGCGCTCCATAGTCTGGTAGTAAGTACTTATCACGTACCCACCATCTATCAACAAGCTACACCCTCTAATTTACTAGCCAACTTTCGAGCACACACACGCGAGAAAGATGCCCACTGTGGCTGCATCCAACCTTCTTACATCACAGCATGGTATGGTAGGTGGTAGTTATAGTATTTACCTGCATAACCGTCGTTGTGTTAAAGCTCATGCTTGACGATTCTGTGTTGTTTTTCTAATTTCGTTTCTTCGATTGTGTCGTCGTTGCTGAGATGGGTTGCCGGGTAATTCCAGCGATCGTCGTCGTCCTCGGCGTTGCTCGACGTCGTCTTCGGTGTTTCTTCTGTTTTGACCTCTTTCTTCGTCAGCACAAAGCACACACACAATCTCTCTCTCTCTTTCGGTGAGGATTTTTTGCTTAAATTTTTTTCAAACTGCAAGTAACTCGTGTTTTCCGTTGGATTCGCTTTCTGTGGTCTCTTCACGCGATTTTCTCAACAATGTGCAATTTTTCACCCTCTAGTTTTTCATCGGCGTGCTTTTTTGCTATTGCACGCCTTATGAATTATGAACTTTTGTGGTGTTCGGTATCGATCACAAAACTACGATTGCTGTCGATGATTCAATAAACGAGCGCAATTTTGTAATTTTACGATCCTGGGCTGACATTTGATAGCGCAAGATGCGTGACCGACGACTTTTTGAACTGATCTTCTTGGAAAATGGCAAACAGTCAATGGGGGAGCTTTGAATTTTGTGTTTTTGTTTCTTTAGACCCGGTCTTGTTGTGGGAAAAATAATCAACTTCTGTCGTGGGACTTACATCACCTGGTTCGTGCGAAAATCCGAATACCTTGCGAAGGGCACAACGTTCGTCTTGGTAGGGGTCTCTTCCCCACTTTATTACCTTTTCGGTGACTCAAAAAATCGACGACTCCCACGAGCAACTGTCGCAAGTTGACACTCGACCTTGATGGCGCAAGTGCAGATAATTTCACTTTCATGTACACCCTACAGGCAGATTGTCTCTCGCTGGAGCCGAATGGAACCGCATGCAGTTGTTACTCAACTGTGACCAAGCTCAGCATACTTTTACAGGCTTGCGCTTTCCTTCATTCCACCGCGACGACTTGGTTGCACGCGCCAGTGCTCGCGAAACGAAATGTCACTGCAAGCGCGATGCACTTCCACCAGAAGAAATAGCGCCAACTTCACTTGTGCTTCAATTATTTCGCCTTGTGAGCTCACTTCACTCTCGGGTGCCTAAAATGCCACGGATTTTTTTTTTGTGATTCTTCTTCTTCGTCTTCTGTGGGTTTGGATTCTGTAGTCGATGTACTTCCTCCTCTAGAGTGCCACCGAAGCTCACAAGAACAAACAATACACGACTACAGCACACTCATACACGCTCCGGAAGGGTGGCAATTGTATGCTGCGAATTTTCCCCCCTCAACTCGCGATTTGCTTGTCAGAAGGACAATGTGAAATTGTAAACAGCTCTTCGGATGAAGCCGAAAACTACTCGCACGAGAGGTACCACGAGCACACTCCGCAAAGGCTGTGCATAAACTGACGGTCAGATCTCCGGTGCCGGTTGAGATATACGGGAATTATATAAATTCACCTGGCAAAAGAGCAACTTCTCACACACGACGAGATCAGAAGAGAACTTCGCCCGCCCGCACCCGTCCGGTCGGTGAGGTGAGATGCTGAGCTCAGCAATGACGTCACGCTTAAGCAGCCGTGGTTGAAGTGATGTCACGACCGAGAGGCACGCGAGATAAGCACAGCTGATGTGCGACCGGCTGGTTGAGCTACGTGACGACGCCGATATGCTTCTACTGGGATGGTGGGTTGGGACCGGCGTTCGCGCAATGTTGATGACGTCCACACGAGCGAGAGGCCGCGTGGTTGAAGGTGGATCATTTTCTCTTCTCTCCACGATAGTTCAGTTTGATGCTGATGAGAGACGTGAGATGTTGAGACGGAGAGGCCTCTGGAACCCTTTCGTGACTGGAGTCGGGGAATTTAATTATCTCTTAGCTACTTTCAAGTTTGTCAATTAATCGGGTAGAGATAGCTCCAATATCAATGTTCTTCAATTTGTGACATGCAAAATGGAACAATCAATTTAAGTAAACGGGTTCGTCGCTTAAAATGTGAGCATTGAAATCTTTTGTATTGAGTAGATCCTAAGGCAAGACTTCGTAGTTGTAAGCTTGTAAAGTCCATGAGCAGTTGATTCTGCATTCAGATGCTATTCGATTGAATGTCTTTTACGTTTTCAATTGAGAAATTAAACTACATTCATCTTTCAACAAATTGCCATTCTATAACTCGATGTATTCTTTAACTCCATTAGTTGATATTTCCACAAGTCGAAGGTCGTTTTGATGGTATAACTCGATATGCCAAAGGCAGAGGTTCTGAAACTTTATAAACATGATAAGTGACGGTCATATTGAATCCCCAGGTCTCGTCGGCTACATTCAAACATGTTCCAAGCGTCCTCTAGTACATTGTCCGTACCCGAGTCCGTAAATGTAATTCATTCCTAAATAAATAATGACACACATGAAATAGGTTGAGAGTTCGGGCCTCACCCCAGCAGGCCTGGGTTCAATACCAGTCGGCGCCGCCGGGATGTTCTGAGGCATAACATCTCTGATCACGCCTTCCTTCGGATGGGAAGTAAAGCCGTTGGTCCCCGGTTCATGAGTTGATGGGTCGATAGGTAGGGTCCAGGTGTGGGAGCTGCCTTCCTGGCACGTCGGTAGCATTGGTGCTCAGCACGGAAAACAAGATCAACGGAAAAAACAAACCAAAGGAAAAAAAAGAGAGTTCGGGCCGATAGTGCGACATACAATTTCATGAGAGCATTTTTAGCCCAAAACGCAAATCGGTTGATATGATGCGTAGATTCCTTACTTACCTTACCAATCAGGCTAAGGTCTTGTTGTCCTCTGCTGTCCGTCGTCTTCACTCTACTCGATCCATGGCCACACTTCACCAGCCTCGTAGTCTGCAAAGGATCCGCAAGTCGCCTTCTACTTGGTCGATCCACCTTGCCCGCTGCGCACCTCTTGTTCTTGTTCCGAGTTGGGTCGCTTTCTAGAACCATTTTCACTGAGTCGTCGTGCGGCATTCTTACGACGTGCCCAGGCCACCGTAGTCGCCCAATTTTAGCAATGTGGACGATGGATGATTCTCCCAGCAGCTGGTGCAATTCGTGGTTCATTCGCCTCCTCCACGTTCCGTCATCCATCTGAACTTCACCGTAGATGGTACGCAACACCTTCCGTTCGAAAGCACCAAGGGCGCGTTGGTCCTCCACGAGCATAGTCCAGGTCTCGTGGCCGTAGAGGACCACCGGTCTAATCAGCGTCTTGTAGACAGTCAACTTCGTACGGCGGCGATTCCCTGCCATGAATTTCTCTGCTGGTATCATTTTCGGCGGTCACTAGTGAGCCCAAATACACGAACTCATCGACCACCTCAATTTCGTCACCGTCAATCTGAACTCGAGGTGGGAGGCTAACATTGTCTTTCCTAGAACCTCTTCCTTTCATGTATTTTGTATTTGATGCGTTGATGGCAAGTCCAATCCGCCTAGCTTCAGCCTTCAGTCTGATGTGCGTTTCCGCCATCGTCTCAAAGTTCATGCTGCTGGATGAATTTCCTGAAGATCGTGCCACTCATGTCTATCCCAGCTCTTCTGATCACCCCTTCTAACGCGATGTTGAATAGCAGACACGAAAGTCCATCACCTTGCAGTAAACCCCCTTCGAGGTTCAAAGGGTCTCGAGAGTGTCCCCGATAATTGAACAACGCACATCACTCGATCCATCGTCGCTTTGACCAATCGCGTCAGTTTATCCGGAAATCCGTACTCGTGCATAATCTGCCATAGCTGATCTCGATCGATTGTGTCGTATGCGGATTTGAAATCGATGAACAAATGATGTGTGGGCACGTTGTATTCGCGGCGCAAAAATTTGGTCCGTGGTAGAGCGGTCACCCATGAATCCCGCCTGGTATTGCCCCACGAACTCTCTTGCAAATGGTGAAAGGCGGCGGCATAGAATTTGGGAGAGTACCTTGTAGGCGGCGCTCAGAAGTGTGATCGCGCGGTAGTTGAAGCAATCTAACTTGTCGCACTTTTTGTAGATTGGGCATACGACACCTTCCATCCATTCCTCCGATAATATCTCCTCCTCCCAAATCTTGGCAAGTACCCAGTGCATCGTTTTCTGCTGCTTCACCGTTGAGGTGCTCGTCATAGTGCTGCTTCCGCCTCTCAATCGGTACTACTGCTTCCACCGTCCAAGTTCTTGCACATATCGGCTTGCGGCACGTAGTCTTTGCGCGAACTATTTAGCTTTCGTAGAACTTCCGTGTGTCGTTTACGCGGTACAGATTGTCCATCGCCTCGCGATCACGGTCTTCCTGCTGACGCTTCTTCCTTGGGAAAACCGTGTTTTGTCTGTTCCGGGCTTGTCTGTATCGCTCCACATTCAATCTCGTGCGGTGTTGCAGCATTCTCGGCCGTGCTGCATTCTTCTCCTCTACTAACAGTTTGCATTCGCCGTCAAACCAGTCATTTCTTCGGTCCGGGATCGCAGTACCTAGTGCCGCTGCAGCAGTACTACCTATGGCGTAATGGATGTCCCTCCAGTCATCTTCAAGAGTAGCTGCGCCAAGCTGCTCTTCCGTGGGTAGTGCAACTTCCAGCAGCTGTGCGTAGTCCTGAGCAACTCCGGCGTCCCGTAATTGCTTCCGTGCGTTCGTGAGCGCATGCATACTGCAACTAAGTAGTGGTCCGAATCTATGTTCGCACTGCGGTACGTGCGGACGTTGATAATGTCGGAGAAGAATTTCCCGTCGATTAGAGCATGATCGATTTGGTTTTCTGTGTGTTGGTCAGGTGATCTCCAGGTGGCTTTGTGGATATCCTGGCGGGGGAAAAAAGTACTTCAAACTGCCATACCCAGAGAGGCTGCAAAGTTCACGCATCGTTGGCCGTTGTCCCGTCCTACCTGAGCGTTCATGTCGCCGATGACGATTTTGGCGTCCCGTTGCGAACAGCCTTCGTACACCTGCTCCAGCTGCGTATAGAACGTTTCTTTCTCGTCGTCGGGTCTCCCTTCGTGTGGGCAGTGCACGTTGAGGATACTGTAGTTGAAGAAACGGCCCTTAATCCTCAACTTGCACATCCTCGCGTTGATCGGCTGCAAACCAATCACGCGTTGGCGCATCTTATCCAGCACTACAAAGCCGGTTCCCAGCTCGTTGGTGGTGCCACAGCTCTGGTAGAAAGTAGCCGCTCGATGTCCGCTTTCTCATACCTTTTGTACCGTCCAGCAAAGCTCCTGCAGTGCTACGACTTCGAAGTTGCGTGGTTGAAGTTCGTCATAGATTTACCTATCACAGCCCGGGAAGCCGAGCGATTTGCAGTTCCATGTTCCAAGTTTCCAATCGTAGTCTTTATTTCGTCGCGTAGGTCTGTGCCGATTGTTCCGATCCGAACCTGAAAAGATATACAAGAGCACTGCTGTCGAGCCACAACTCATTTTCGCTTCGGACGGTGTGGTGAGCAGGCAGCAGAAGCAGCAATAGCAGCAGTAGAAAGGTGGTGGCAGGTTAGGTAGTCCACCCAACAAGCAACAATGACTGGTCATGGCAAAGGAGAAAGAGGTCGTATCTCCGGTCTGATCTACGAGGTGTGCTGAAGGTGTAACTGGAAAATGTGATCCGTGATGCTATCACCTACTCTGAACACGCCAAGCGTAAGCGGTCATGGATGTCGTCTACGCTTTGAAGCGACAGACGCACTCTGTACGGTGTCGGAGGTTAAATCATCACCAACTTTGGCAGCAGAACGGTCTTTTTCAGGGCCAACAAGCTTATTACAGTAAATATTTGAAATAGAATTTATCTGTGCCTGTTTTTCCATATTCAAAACCACACGCCCCCAACGACCACACAAAACGCTCTCCACAGTTGTAATCTTGTAACTTGGAAGCAGGGGGCAAGTGATTTTGATCGATTCTCTTCATCTTTCGTTAATAACTCGTTAACTGCCTTTTGCTTTCAAGGTATTGACATTTAGCAAACTACGCAAAAAGAGAGTGTCGCTACTTGATAGCAAACTACTCATGATGGGAGGAGTCTGTGTAGCTTACCGGTGTGTGCAAAAAGAAAGGCAATAAAAATTTCATTTTGTGATTGTTTCCCAAACACAGACATCATATTGAAACACCATCGTGATTGTAGCATTCTCTGTAAATTACAATTGGTACAGTTAGTGCTTCAGTGTTTACACTCCGTGTTGGATAGAGTCAATATTAGAAGTGAAACAAGTGTTTATTGACAAATTTTGCAAAATTCTTCAAAATGTCTCAACCCTTGGCTGCTAAATATCTCCGCGATTATCAGAAGCGGCGACCAAGAGGCAAGGAAACTTGCGAAACAGACGCGGACCGTTGCTGAACGCGTTCGAATGTGTCGAGCCACAGAGAAAGCGGCAAAACGTAATCCTAATTTTAGGATTTATTCAATAACCGCCCA